GACATTAACTTTTAAGGGTTTGGACTTCATCACTAATTTAAATATGCTAAATGCATGCACTGTTGTTATATATTCATTGTATCTATATTCATTGATAGTTAACTATAAAAAAAGGAAAAAGGCCAGATGATGATGGCTGTTTTATTATATATGAAGTGGGTGCTGTTTTTACTGAAAAAACAAAAGTGTGTTCTCATGAACCATGTTATTTTACATGTAAAAGGGGTGAGGTGTCTCTGGAAAACAATATTCCAAAAACATAGTCATTGGATTAATAATAAAAGGTTAATTTAATTTTAATGTAAGTACTCCCCTTTCTAAGCAAATTCAAAGTTTTATTAAGATTTTAGCATTTATTATATTGATGTCATATTATTTTCACAGAGAGGCTTAGCACACATTTGATCTTAAAGCGAATAAGTGAGCACAGTGTGCAATATGTATACTATACAAATATGGTTCTTGCCTAAATGTTTTGTTGTCTCGTTATAATTTATTTTTAAAAAGTATGTGTTGAATTCTATATCATGAATATAATTAGAAATAGTGTCTGTGTTTCCACTTACATGCAATAAACCTTTACAGGCCATCTTAGAGCAAATTTATGTCTACATGTATAAAGTAGTTAACAGAGTAGCAGAGAAAATGTATAGTTCAAGTGGTGGAGTGTAATGGTATTGCCTACTTTCCAGTTCCTTTTTGGAAAATAAACAAGGAAAACCATGTACATGCCAAGTTTGTTTTCATGTAGAATAGAAGACCAGTATTATTTCTGTATTTTGGCTTATCAAAAACACTGAAATTCCTGCTCAAAAGAACATAGTTGAGTCCAAAATGAATTAATGTATTGCATATGAATGCTGCAGTTAAAGCAAAATGAGGTTTTCTTCACGCAAGGCTACAATTAACCACAATGTAGCCAAGCATCAGCTGAATTTTTGAAACTGTAAACCTGATGAGGTGTTAGGAACAACAACTCCAGAGTTAGAAAATGTCCTTTAAAACAGATATAAATTATTTTATATTTCTGAGTTGCACTTAGATGAACAACATCAGTGAGCCTCATTTGTTCCTTAAAAACCTTGTTTGCCAGAAAAATTTAGGAAAAGGAATACTGTCTGAAAAAGGCTAGTAACTGACCCACCTGATTCTTTAAAACTGATCTTAAATGGTATTTCTTTTACTAAGAGTATTTGTTGATGACCTCAGAATGTGACATCTCGACAGACATTAATAGTAATCATGATATTAAAGAATTTTACTGAAAAACATAAGCAAGTTGAGCCACTATTTCTTAAACAGAATACAATCCCACATCAGAGTAACAGTAAAGACTGTGTGTCTTCAAAAAAGAATCCAGAGATACTACACTGGATACCTGTGGCAGAACTTGGGCAAATTTAGGCCCTCCAGCTAAAGCATTCCTTTCCATGTGTATTCCAGTAACCACAAAAGTCTATTTCATGTCCAGATTTATTTAGAAGCATTTGGACTACCCAGTCCCAGATGAAACCAAATGTACTTATACCTTCAGCCTACCCCAGAGACCCATATGTGTGTGGAGAAATCAGAAGGCCTCTGTCTAATGTGGAGAGCATGCTTGCTTTCTTATGCCTTCATACTATGGCTGAGTGTGGACAAGGACCTCTATGGATAGAAGGAAACTGAGTAAGAGGAAGCCTTTCCTTCCCAAGCCATCTGTGTCTGGGCTGCAGTGGTGCTTGGTAACCACCAAGTCTTTTTGCTTCCTACCTCGTCACAGGCCAGTGACTAAACATGAAGTGGTCCCCCTTTCTGTTTGTGCCTCAGGTTCTGCCTGTCACTTACAGATATTTGAGGTATATCTGTGCTTTCCTCTTGGAGTGGAAATAAGAAAGTCTCTCTTGTTGTCTTTTCCCATGCATTAAGTCTCCAGTTTTAGCATTTACTCACCTCTTGGCTTGGGTACCTAACACCCATAAACCAAGTGTAAAGCCCTACTTATTATGTTAGCAGATCTGTTCAGAAACACATTCTCTCTTCTGAGAGACAGAGTCGTTGTAACTGATAGTCATAAAAGCTGGTTTGGGAATTATTTGGCCTGTCATTGAACATATTTGTGAAGTCTCTTCTCAGTGTTAGACAGAATCCTACGTCAGTCTTTGTTTTGGACTACTGAAGCAAACTGTCCCTTGTCCTTGCCCTTTTGTAAAAACTGATGGAAGATACACATGAAAGGAGCTTTTTTTTTGTTCCCTATTAAGAGGTAATTAACCCAACTCTTCCATGCTAATTAACTTCTGCAGATTCCAAGATGTCTGCACAGTCATGGAAGACTGATAGCAACCACAGTAAAAAGTACTAAGTTTCTCAAGCCTCGTAGTATTAGTTATCTGTAGGATCAAGCTGGGATGGAAGTGTCCAGAATTTTGTAGGTGGGAATGAGAGGCAAGGAAGATAGAATCACAAAGTCATTTAGGTTGGAAAAAACCTCTGAGATCATTGAATCCAACCTTTACCTGATCACCACCTTGTCAACTAGACCATGGCAGTAAGTGGTATGCACAGTCATTTCTTGAACACCAAACATAGTTCAAAGCTGAATTCTTTCTGGGAAATCTCTATGTCTGTGGGAAAGAGATTGAGTGTATATGTGCAGTCATTGTAACTATTAAGCCTTCTTAGGGTCTTGGAGGAAGATACCAGTGCCAAAGATACATTAGTGTCTTGCTTCTGATCAGTGACAGGGTGTCTAAGAAGTTCCTTCTATGGATAAATCAGAAACACTGTTCTTATGCTATTTGGACAGTGATATTATCACCTTAATGATCTTTTTATGACTTAAAAGTGTATGCATTGAGACACTGATACCTGAACAATTAGACAGGTAAAAGCTTTGTAATTGTCTTTTATTACAAATATAATTATTCCACAAATCATTACACATTGCTCAGAAAATTCTGATTTAGGACGTAAACTACAATTTTCTTAGCTGTTGCAGTATAAGGCCTATTCTTTTCCTCTCTGTTGTCTAAACTGTGCCTTCTCAAGCTGGCTAATATGCAGTGCTATTTTTTTTTCTTTGCAACATTCACTGAAAGACAGCTAAGCCTAGATTTCTGATGTTAAATTTTTGTGTAAACAATTGTTGTAGATAGCCAAGGGTGATCACACAATTGCAAGTGTATGGGAAGCTTATTCCAAAGGCAGAAATGAAAAGGAATAGTGCTCTGTCCTAGTGTTAATGAGTAGAGATGAGGGTCTTTATCACAGAGCTGTCCGAGAACCTGTTCAAAGTAACTGAAGGAAGTGACATAAGGAGGCTTTTAAATTTACATGGTGAAATGCAATTCTATTGTAAAGAAAACACTATTGAGTGTGTTTTGTAGGTAAAAAACACATCTATATGTAATGTTTATCACAGTGAAAATGCAGCATATTCTGTTTGTCTCTAGTATTTGTGAAAAATTTCCAAACCAGTTCCATTATTTGCCAATACTGAATATTTTTAAAGTACTCCAGGCTAATTATTTGTGCATAGTTCATTTTAGAACATTTGGGAAATAATGGATAATAAGTTATGGCTGCTGCTTAATGCCACCTTATAATTACTGAATAAAATGTAAGGATATGTAAATGTCATTCTAATTGAATATCAATCACTGAAATATTTTTAAATGCCAAATAATATGATCTTAGAACACCAATTAGCAAAATTATTTATTCAGAAATGTTATATGTCTCCATCATTGTGGAGATGATTATAATACTAATCTGCACTAATTAATTAATTTCACTCCCAACCCTTTCAAAATCCTTTATAAAATGTCATATCTGTAACTTAGAAATGCTTATTTTACTGTAAGTATTTTTATTAGTACTGGAATAAGGAAACCTTTACAATCATGCAGAAGTTTTAGGTTTTATTAAAAATCTTTAAAAAATAATTAAAATTACAATTTTCAATTTAAGCAATTACATTAATGCTTTCAGTCTCTTCTAGGCCATTCTTGTGTCAATTTTTTTTAATTTAATAAAACTATCGAGATGCAAAACTTTCATGTCAACAAAGGTTTAAGCATGAGGCAGCATTGAGGTTTATGAAATAGCAATGAGAGTAAAGTAAAACTGCCTTGGAAGAAACAAACAAAAAAAAAAAATCAAAGATTTCATAAGGCACAAAGGTGTAGTCTTAAAAATGACTGATAAGGAAAGCCCTGGGACAGATGTCTACTCAGGCTGAAGGCAAAGGGCTTTTTGCTATTAGCTGTCAGTGGTGAATGTCATCAAGCTGTTTCATATTACATCAGCAGCAGAAACTTTTTCATGTCTTTTCAGAATCTATTATATACCTAAGACAGCAAACTTTAAAAATACACAGAAAGAGTTAACTGACTTTTTACCTTAAGACTTATTCAGAAGTTTAAACAGAACTTCTGGTTTTGTTAATAAAATAGAATTTTTCTTTCTAACCTGAAAGGTGATCATAGAGCTGGTGTATATAGAGCACTGTCTAGCAAGTATCAGTGCTAACTAAAGAGTGATAGCTATTCTCATTATCAAATTGCATTAACTAACATTAACATAGTGCTGTGCTGGCATGTCACCAGAATTTACAAATGAAAATATGTTTTAAAATAGAAAGATTGTCTACAAAGTTTAAATCAGATGGAGAGGTCAAGTAGACAGAATGCTTTTTCATAATTAGGTTGCAATGACAAAACACTTAGGCACTGTTGCCTGCATATTTGCTGGAAGTGATGTCAGAAGTCATTAACAACTCTGGTCTAAGCAGTTTGCCAAAAGTTTGAAATAGTCAGATTTGGCTTTATTTGTTCTGTGTTGCATTTTGTAAGGGATGGTTTTCAAGAATATGGTATTAATGTAGTAATATAAAGCAGTACCAGTATTGCCGGTTGAGTGTCTTCACATACAAAAAAACCCTCTGCGTAAAATATTGTTTTATATGGTAAATTACAATGATGGTTGTTCTCTTAAAAATCATACTTTTTTTTTTCCAGTCTAAAACATATATGTGTAGTTGGCAAGGGGATACTCTGTGTTTCACAGTCGACTTTGCTCTAGGATTTACCTGTTTTGACAGTAAAACAAAGGTAAGATGAAAAGAAGAGGAAAAAAACCTTGATATTATTTTACTGTTATTGAACTTATCAGTTATTGCATTTTTTTATGTTGATGTCCAGTCTTTATTCCTCACATATACTGTTCTATTTATTTATTTAGCACTACTGAAATGTGGTCAGTTTGGGACTTAAAAGGGGCAATTATAGTTGTGCCATAGCATGTAAAGATAAATTTTGGAGAAAGATATAAAAAAGTAGTTTCCTTTTCAAGCAATAAAAGCAAAAGAAGGTTATTTAGCAGAGAACTTGGTTTGTTGTAATGAAGAAACTTCAAGATTAGTAAAAGATTACGAAACATGAAAGAAATGAAATGTCACCTGATTCTGTTTGTTTTGAAGCTACAGATATAAAATAGAATTAATCCTTCTTCTATCATAAGAAATTTAGGCCACGTCTAAAATAAACAGAACAAAGGCAAATTTATTTCAAAGTCAGAATCTAAAAGGTTAAATTAACTTATCTTGCAAAACAGTGGCTATATAGAAAGTGCCTACAGGGCGTGGTCTATGGTACGTGCCAACTTCCAAGTCCTGTCTATAATGCTACTATTTTATATATAATTTATTGATACTTTAAATTATTCTAAATGGATTTTAACATTTGTTTGAATTAGAAGTAAACATACCTACAAATAATGTTTCTGCATTAATAGAACTATGCAGTAAAAGGACTGTCCTTTCAAATATGGTCTTCAACTCCTAACTGAAAGGATTTTTCAACTATATGTTTAAAAAATTCTGAGTTAAGAGGGAACACACTGCATTTTGAAATACACAGGATCTAGGGGGGTTTTTTTGCATGTTGGTATTTTGTAGGTTTAGGGCCAAAATGGACAAGTCTATTGAAATCTTTGTGCAGAGAAATAATGACCAAGATTGCATGAAAATTTAGACTAATTTCATTAATGTGCTATCCTATGAAGTAGCATAAAATTCCACGAAATACATATGCATACCCTTCCCTGCCTCAGGTGATACTGCATTCTGAAACTGTGCTTCTTGCACGAGTATACACATTTTTCATGTAGCCACAAATTAACTATAAAAAGTAATCTCTCTATAGATTTTATAGAATGTTTCTTTTTAATGTGAAAACTGATTGTAGATACTCTCACCTTTAAAATAATAAACTCACTCTATTGATAGGACTTTCCGTCAGAGTGCCTACCTTCAGTATTGATGATGAAGAGAATTTAGATGAACTTTTGTTGTTTACCTAAGGAGAAATACAGAATACCATCAAATAGACTGATTCTGTTGTTAAACTGTAAAAATTCTGGAAAAGTTGAGTACATTTATTTTTCATCTGTTTGAGAGATGGACATGTCCTCTGCATCCTCAAGCCCGAGTGAGGCAGTAGTGGCTGACCTCTGCAGTTCATCTTATGTCCTGTAATTGTCACCTTTAGTTGATTGTGTTGCCCCATATGCATAACTATTTCAGAATATTTCCTACCAACACAGAAAAGATTCTTAAAGTGGTCAAGCAATTAGCAGTTCATTAGGGACATAGCAATTTTGCTGAAAAATCTTTTTTTTTTGAGATAATGAAAAAATTAAGGTCTTCTATTGATGCAAAGAATGCTCTTACACCACAGCAGGTGTTCCTACAGGATTATTAAAATAAAAACCAGTCCACTGTTTGCTCTATGACTCTAAACCTGGATCTCAATTTTTGGGAAACCAGTTCATGTACTTATTGAAAAACATTCTTTTCTATAGTCTGAAAAATAACATAAAATGGGCCTTCTTATTACAAATTCTGAAACAAAAAGCACAAGAACTTTTGCTTTGGAGTGTGGTGGATTGACCCCAGCTTCCTCCTGAGCTGGGCAGAGGAGAGGAAATATAACAAGAGCCTTGTGGGTCAAGATAAGGGTAGGGAGAGATCACTCACTGCTTACCGTCATGGGCAAAAGGGACTCCACTTGAGGAAATTACTTTAGTTTACTACCAATCTAATTGGAGTATGCTAGTGAGAAATGAAAACCTGATCTTAAAACACCTTCCTCCTACTTCTCCCTCCTTCCCAGGCTTAAATTTATTCCCTATTTTCTTTATCTCCTCCCCTCCAGTGGCACAGGCAGATCAGGAATGGGGGCTGCAGTGAGTACATCACATGTTTTCTCTGCTACTCCTTCCTTCTTAGGGTGAGGTCTCCTCACACTCTTCCCCTGCTCCAGAAAAGCAGTTATCCACAAACTTCCCCAACATGAGTCCTTCCCATGGGCTGCAGCTCTTCATGAACTGCTCCAGTGTGGGTCCCTCCCATGGGGTGCAGTCCTTCAGGAACAGCACCTCCTCCCGCTCCTTCGCTGACCTTGGTGCCTGCAGGGTTGTTTCTCTCACATATTCTCACTACTCTCTCTTGCACAAGAAATAAAAGTGTCTTTTAGAAAATTCTTTTCTAGAATAGTTTTGGTGGATTCTTAAAGTTATTTGGAAGAATAACTTCTTTTCCTGGGTCATCATGGGCTTAACTCATTCAGCTGTTATTGTTCTGGGCCTACCACAGAGATACTTTTATGGCTGCAGATGCTTTATATCACATTTGTAGAGATTCTTTTTCTCTTGTTGGCTTGGCTGGTTCATCTTCCCCATCCTGTGTCTCCAGCTGCTCATCCGAGATAAAGGGATCCCAAAGTGTGCATTTTCTTCCACCTTCCAGAACTATCTACTTCTCTTCTTTCCCACTCAGTGTCAACCGTTGAGAGAGGTGATGACTCCAGCAATGCCTATTATTGCTAAATTGTTCCTAAGTTCTTGTTTCATCTCCACCTTAGCAGTTATATTACATAGCAAACATTCATCTATCTTGTTTAGAGCCAAACTCATTTAAGCTTTGAACACTTTTCAGGTGGTCTAATTAGGCCCTCTGGACCCAGTTAAAATCTGTTCATGAATGTAAAGTTTAAGCACCATCACAGTGCTGTAGCATAGTTGGGGGTTTTTTTTAATCTGTTATATTTCTCTAAGAAGGCAGTGACATTTATGTCTGCAGGGAACCAGGAGATAGTTTTTATTTCTAGGGCATTCCCTTTTAAACTATGAGTAGGGTTCTGAAGACTACCGGTAGCACTGGTCTACTTAAAAAATATTTTGAGAAAAGACATGTTGGAAAATGGAATATAGCAAACTTTTTTCCATGTGTGCTTTTGAAATAGCCTTCCAAGTATTTAAATTGTGTTTCCTCAGCAGTGTCCAGGGACTGAATCACATTTCAACATGTGCAGAGAATTTTCATTAAGATTATAGGCATTAAAGGAAACATCAGCAGGAAGTCCAGATGCAAGTTGTTATCTTGAGGGTTTTTGAATTATACATTTTAAGGTGATCAATAGAAAACATTCAGATAAATACAGAAAATTATCTTGGTTTCAAAAATAATTTCCCAACTTTTGTTTTAAATAGGTATCTCCATAAATATTAAAGCATATCTGTCAGTCTAGGATTTGCCAACACTAGTCAGATACCATGCATAAGCCTATAGGAGACCAAGAAGCCTAGAATTTTTATATATTTTACAAGCCACTATGTGAATTAGAACACATCTTTGTGGTTTCCAAGACTACATTCAATAATAATATTTTTGTGTTTCTGTAGTGTATTTGAGGATTTCAAACCACATTACACACATCAGTAAATTTAACTTTGCAGCATCTGTATAAGACACTATTCTCTATGTTATACAGATGAGCCAGCTGGAATATGAAAGATCAAGATTTGGCATGGAATTGTGTTCACAGCGAAACTGATACAAATATCTTCATAAATCTTTATGGAATTAAGCTTTTGCCATGGATCTTGATATTACATAGGCAACTGAAACATTCAACCTTCAGAGAATTTAAATCTAAATAGTTGTTTAGTCAGTGAATATCAATATTGTATCTTTTCCTTTCACATAGGATACAGAACTGTTAATTTTTATTGCTCTGCAAAGAACCTCTTATCATGTAATGTATTTACTGCCCTAATGCTTTATCTTAATACACAAACACTGAGCATCAATCTATATAGTTCTAGGTAAGTACATGTAACAGAGTTCTTAATCAAACTTCTTTCTCTTTAGAATGTGCTGTGGAGGTTTAAATTCTCTCAACTCAAAGGCTCTTCAGATGATGGAAAAACAAAAGTAAAGCTGCTTTTTCAGAATCTAGACACCAAACAAATTGAGACAAAGGTAAGCAATATCCCCTTTCTAAGTTTTGTAAAACATGAAATAAAATTACTGTCAAGGCATCAAACATTCCATTTACTACTGCACATACATATGGTGAACACGTCACAGCTTATCAGTTTCTTCCTATTCTTTAGAAACTCCACAATAAATGGAAGTGATGTAGTACCTATAAGTTTATTGCACTGTTTGTATAAGCCTGTTATTAAGTTGTGCTATGTTGGTATTTTAGTCTTTCAGAAAGATTCTGTGGTGTTATTCCATCAACTATAATAGATATAATATCTAAAAGCTGCATTTTAAAAAGATAAAGGAAAAATAAAACTATATGAATGTTAAATACATTTTTAAGCTGCTGCGTAAGTGGACTTAAATTTTTGAACACACATATGGTTAAGGTTCAGTAAAAATATAAAAGATTGTGTAACAGTTATTAGCTTAAAAAAGGGAATATTCTTGCAAGAGGCCAAGCAATTGCTGAAACCTATTGGTTCTACTGTGAATTAAGAGCACTTGATGCTTTGCAGTATCTGGAATTGTGGACAAGTCCAGTCACTTCTGTAGATGAGATATTAGTAGTGCCTTTTTTTTTTTTTTTCTCCAGCAATTATCAAATAAAAACGTGAAACCTAGAATTCAGGTTCCCAACTGAATTTCAGATGTTTCTCATTCAGGACTGAAGTCATCTGGAGATTTGGCCGTAACGCCATAATCTGCACTGATTCTGCCCTGTGATCCCAAGGTTCCTACTGAATAAATAAATAAATAAATACATACATAGATGATTTTTCAATCATGTGGTTTTAAAAAGAATGAGGAGAACTTTGGTTTGATATGACAGAGAAGAGGGTAAGAGTGAGGTTCAACTGAGTTTTGGTGGACAAAACCAATGAAAACTACAGAAAAGTATCTGAAGACCTATGAAAATTCTCAAATACTCTTAGCTGGAGTTCTGCAGGTTAAAGCCACTTGAGAAGTAATATTTTTTATAGTGACCATACACAAAAGTTATATATTACCTATCCTTCTAATGGTTAAAAAAAATTGTAAGGAGAAAATCCCTAAGCTTTCTTGTTTATCATAAAGTTATAGTAAATACATCTTTATAGATCCACATTAATAAATTATTCAGGATTTCATCAGCAAGCTTAACCTGAGTTGTCTCTTGTCTCTACTGTAAAAGATATTATATCTGTTTAAAAACTTACAATACTATAATAATAATCTATAGCAGCAGCCCATTTCCACTTCATTTCTCACAGTACTCCTTGGAGACAGAAGAAAACTGCTGTCCTCATTTTATACATGATCATCTGTTTGCAGAGAGCTTACGTATCTTGTTTCAGGTCAGACAGAAAGATTGTATTGGTGCAAAAACTACAACATGTATCTCTGTATTAAATCATTAAATCCACGTGTGTGATTGGCCAAAGGCTGCAATTCCATTGCTTGTAATGGAATTCTATTACTTTAATACTAAATCATTCCTCTTTCTGTTGTGGTAAACAATCTGAACTTTTAAATTTTATTTTATTTTTATTTTTTGTGCTCACCTAAATTGTTTTTAATTTTTTTACATGTATTTTACTCTTTATATTAAAAAATGTAAATTTTAGCATTTAATGAAAATTTTCTTATCTGTAAAATTATTACAAAGGTGAGTCCTTATGATAATTTTACAGCAAATTTTGTTCAGGGGACAGAGTTTTTAAAACATTTAAAAAATTATTTTACATAGTTCTAATGAAAACAGCTTGTAATTGGCAACATTTTCGTGAATATTTGTGAGGTACCTTGAAAGTATTAGATGGAAATTGATATGTAATGGTTCATACAGAATTCTAAGTATCTATGTAACTAAATGTATATATGTGTTGTAAATGTTGGCAGATCCCAGAAAAATCTCATTAAAGGCCAGAGGAAAGGATGATACTAAGTAGCTGAGGATTTATCAGGATTTCAGTGATTATACCTCTTTACCACTGCCTCTGCACAGTGCAGTGTACCCACTAGGATTCACATTAAATGAGACTGGACACAGCTCTGCAGCCTCTCCACTTGAGATAACTGGTACATATATTCAAGAGTATGCCCACCACCCAAATGGTATGATTTCTTAAGACTTCAAAGTTACAGGCTGGTTGGAAAATACCCAACACTAATACCCATAGTACAGTACAGTATCTGCCTCTGCTTATTGCACTGAAAGAGATTACATAGAGCCAGATGGTGCTATGCAGTGAAATGCAGCCAATAATGAGAAAAAGTGTCATCAAATAATAGAAGTTTCATTTTTCCTGAGTAAATGAGCCACTATGTACAAAATGAAGCTCGATGCAGATGACTTATGTTCACTTGGCAGAAGACAGTAAAGGTTGCGAAAGAATTTTCTAGATTATGTCTAATTTTATATGCTTATAAATTCTTGGGGGAAAAAAATCTCATTTGGGAATTCTGTTTTTGTACCTTGGTTACTAGCTAGAGATGATGTTTCTACTCCTTCCAGAAATTTTAAGCCAAGTAATTCTTTCTTTGCACTTCAGTCTTAGGTGAACAATACATTCTTCCATTTTAAAATTTTTTGTTCAAAGGAGATAATAAGGCCAAGATTCCTGTCAGTTGTTTCTCATATTCCCTACAGTTTCTTCTCATAGTTTCCCAGTTCAGTATTTCTCTGAACTTACCCTGCCTCTAATACTGAGAAATTGCAAGTAATCTTAATAATAATAGATGCTCTTTACCTTGAATTTTAAAGATTGCTTAAAAAAAAAAAAAAAAGGAAAAATTAAGATTAATGCTTCCAAGTTCATACTGATGCTTTATCTCCCTTAGATAAACTGTAGCTTCCTGATGATATTCCACCAGAATATTTTAACTGAACATTTCCCTTTTCTTCTCAGTCTCAAATACTTATGGAAGAAAGAAAGACAAGAAACCATTGTGTCAATAGACTATTGTGAGCCATATTGAAACCTCATCTAGACATTGCTGGTCTCATAAACTTCTTGTCTGTTACACAGATAATTTAAGAGCCCTGCATATTTAACTGAGCACATTCAGCATATTTTCTTCACTGACTTCAAGCCTCAACTATTCTGTAATTTCAGAATGGTACAGTGGTATGATGTGACGTGACTTTACAATTAGACTGCAGCAGTTTTGCAGTAAATCCTATTCTCTGAAAGGATATTTATTCCATATTTATTCCATGTAAGTCTTCTTGAGAGATATGGCAAATAAGGAGAGGGCAAGCAAAGCTCTCACTTTACTGCAACATTAATCTCTATCATCAGTAAACCATAATGTAGCACTCAAGCCCTTCTGTATTTTTATTAACATGTGTCTTTTCTTACCAAAGTCTGGATGTTTACTATTGAACATCATGAGATCTTGAAAAATATTTGCAACATAATGGTAGATAGGAGTTAAGATTCTGCTTGTGTGACAGTATTGGACAGACTGATTGCTGTTGGAAATGTATTTTAATATTTACTGGAATGAGTGAATTTAATTGGCTTCTTTTATACAAACATCTTTTCAGATGAGTTTCTTGTGCGTTAGTGAAGTCTGCATCTGCCAGTGCAACATTTAAAAGTGTTTTGGATTTAGAACTACATAGTGGCATTTGAAATCACTCAAGCTGTAGGTGAGAATCCATCTGATTCTTCCAGACCCCTATAGAACACTGTTAAAGGACTTAAGTATAACTGAGAGAGAGAGAGTTGCAATTATCTGGCACTGAATGTTGGTATCATAGATCTGGTTCTTAGACTCCCAGGGTAAAAGCAACATTTTAGCTTATCCTTCTGCTGTTTGTGCAAATGACAGTCACAAAGAGGAGACCAAATAGAAGTTTGTAGCTGAAGAAGCTTTCATACCATAGATAACAATGTATCTTTGTGTGTTTATAACAAGCTGTGCAATACTAATACGTTTATTCTTCTCATCCGTGATACAGCAACCAAGCCCTGGTATACTTGCTGTGATATAAAACTGAATTTAGAATTTTGGTTTCTATTTTGACTTCAATGTTATTATAATTTTAATCTGATTGAAAAAAAATATGCTCAGGAATACAGTTGTAATATTTGTAATATTTGTGCTCTTATCAACAACTAGTAAACACTGCGGGTAACCAATGTCCTTAAAGAAGTCATGAAATGCACAGGGCACAATAACACTATCTGTCAGTGTCTCCATTATTTGCCTTTTATGTGATACAGGGTCATGTCTTGTTCAAATAGTGATTCAACAGCTCTCGGAAGTAATCAATAAAATTGTGTGTATGGTAATAAGCAACAGGCCTGTCAAGTTCTTTATGATATGTAATAAATCCAGCTCTCCTAGGTGGGTGGATGAAACAAGAACATATGTTTTTCTTCCTTGGCTGTGCACATACAGTGATGGAGGTCGGTGTAATGTGCTCATTTTTTATATTTTCAATACCAGCAGGAAGTTTTGCAGTCTTGTCCTCCCACTCTTTTAATCCAGTCTTTTCTGTTCTTCTCTTGATGTCTTCCTTCTAGTGCCTTTGTTGTACTTAATCCACATATTACGATGCATATAGTAAACCGAAATAGCTTTGGTTATTGAAATATTAGACATGTACAGATTCTTCTAAATAACTGAAAATCTTAATTAAAGAGAAAATCAGCAGTCACAGATAAGGCAAACAAACATAAGGGTGGTATTAGATGATATAGTGCAAATAAAATGGTCAGTTATTCATCTGCCTGGCTGAGTACAGAGAGAAGTGTTACTTTAAAAAAAAATAAACTAACAGAGCAATGTATTTGTTTGAAGAGGTGTCATTGGTGTTATTTTCTAGAAAAAGTTCACATTACATTCTAAACCCGAAGAGGCCAAATTTTCACCCTTAAAACTGTATTCAAGATAGTATCTTGCTAAGAAACATATTGTGTCCCTGTCCTCAGATCATGCAACATTTACATGTTTCCAAGTCAGAAAACCATCACTATCTTTTACTAAATCCATACCTTCATACTAACACCCAGTCCTCTCCCCCTTTCCCTGTTGTAATCTACATGCAAGCTATATGCACCACCAGAACACCACTTCTCTGAGCAACCTTCACAAATACCTACCACAGACATCGAACATCCTACAAACACAAAGCACCACAGTCTTGTGGTTGTACATCCCAGCTTGTATCAGAAATAGTGTGGCCAGCAGGACTAAGGAAGCGATTGTCCCCCTGTACGCAGCACTGGTGAGGCCACAGGTCAAACCCTGTGTTCAGTTCTGGGCCCCTCACTACAAGAAAGACACTGAGGTGCTGGAGCATGTCTGGAGAAGATCAATGAAGCTGCTGAAGAGTCTGAAGCACAGGTCATATGAGGAACAACTGAGGGAGCGGGGGTTATTAGCCTGGAGAAAAGGAGTCTCAGGGAGGATCTTACTGCTCTCTACAACTACCTGAAACAAGTTACAAGTGATAGTGTGAAAGGAAACAGCCTCAAGTTGTGCCAGGGGAGGTTTAGATTGGCTATTAGGAAAAATTTCTTCACTGAAAGGGTTGTCAAGCATTGGAACAGGCTGCCCAGGGAAGTGGTTGAGTCATCAACCCCGGAGGTATTTAAAAGACATGTAGATGTGGCGCTTAGAGATATGATTTGGTGGTGGACTTGGAAGTGCTGGGTTGATGGTTGGACTCAATGATCTTAAAGGTCTTTCTCAACCTAAATGATTCTATGTTGCAATATTTGAATGTTCTTGCCAGTTGACTGCATTCCTTGTTCAAGCTGAGTAAAAGGTAAACAACAAGGTAGCACAACGTGAAAAACTAAGTTGACATGTGACACCTGCAGTGAAGAGGGTGTGGATATACAGCTTTTATTCTTAAAAGTTTTAACTTTACATTTCCCTATAAAGATTCAAATTTCATGTTAAATCCATTGTTGTTTGCTGACTGTTCTGTTCTGTACTCATATAAAATGTTTATAAGCCTGAATATGAATTCACATTTTCTCTTCTTTTTTTTTTCTTTTACTTCTTTCAGGAACTTGAATTTCAGGATCTGACGGCAGTTTTACACTGTATTCACTCCTTTATAGCAGCAAAGGTGGCATCTGTGGATCCATTATTCATAGACAGTCAGAGTATTGCAAGAAAATATATGTACAGTAACTGATACTAGATTATATGTTGTGACTATGGAAAATAAATTATTTTCTTAAAAAAAGTAGTTATTTCATTCACAATATTGCAACTTTGTGATTTTATAAGAAGCTTTTAGCTGTGTTATCTGTAATGTTAAGAGTTTTCACAATCTGATAAATATTTTGAATCCATGAGTTAACAAATACTAAGTCAAACTGAATCAGTTTGTCATCTTCTGCATCAATCTAAAATTCTAAATGAATATTCATTCAGTAATAGTTCTAGTGCCATTTTGATTTCTGCTCTCATGGTCATTCATACTCCCCCTTATTAGATAGAAATGTGGAGTAATACTTGAAAAGTGTGTGTCCAAAATTTGGCCTCTAAGTCTCTTTTGAAAAGTACTGGGCACACAGGCAATTTCTACAGTCTTCACTGTAGTAAAGAAGTAATTATTGAAGACAACTGCAGTAGGAATTGAACTTTTATCTTGCTTCTATATGTTTGAAAAATTATAGTTCCACAGTTGGGTTCTTTCAAGGCCTGAGAGTTTAGCTCTGGCAAAACACTAAATACTCTATTTCAGATCTAGGAAAATATTTAAGCACATGCTTGGCTCTAAACACATTAAGTAGCCTCCGTGTATGCAGAAGGTAATGTTAAGGGTGTATTTAAGTATCATGGTAGATCAACTGTGAAGAGATTTGGACTCAGCTAAGAAGCCTGCCTATAGGCACTCAGTTTTAGAAAACTTGCCATAGGGTTTTCTTATCTATGAATAAAGTTTCCATGACCCATTCATTTATTCGTTCACAGATTGCCTTGATGCTACCCTTTGATGTGATGCTCTGTATGCTTGAGAACAGCTTCTTTAATAAACTGTTTTGTTTGGAGGATGATGCTTCCAGTATAGGATGAACATAACAAAACATAAAGATGTTTCTGGGCCACCCACCTTTTCTTTCCTACAGCTCTAACCTTGACTTATATGTGAGCAAAATGGATTTTCTCCTTGCTAAGGAAATAATATGGTTTTACTTTCAACATATTCCTAACCTTCTTTCTGAAATCATCTTCTTATATGCACAGATAATTCTTCCTGCTATCAAAAAATTATATGAAAGGAAGACATTTTAATCTTAGGGCATATTCTCTGTAAAAAATACCAAATATTGCAGGTTTCTGTGATAGAAGTCTCAGTTGTTCTCACATGCAGATTTGAAACAGCATCAGGCAATTACACTTTTTTTCAAAAAATAAAACAAACAAGTAGAATATCCTAGCTAGATGCAATGGATAAGGAGTGAATTCATCAAAGTCCTCCCTAAATTTTAGGCGTCTCGTAAAGCATCCTGCTAAAGTAAAAGCCTAAAGTATCCTAAGGAAAAGAAGTATGTGCCTTTAAAAGCTCCCAGGTGAGGAGTGTTATTACATAAATTCAGTGCTTAAGTTTAGTCACTTAAATTCTTCCCTTGAGGTCTTAAGCTGTCTTGGCAGACTGCAGTAGGGCCTTAGGCACGTAGTTCAAATGGGTGCTTATCTGTCCACCTAAAGCTTAGGCACAAATAAAGTGCCTAATGCAGGTGATTTGATCGTACCAGGAAGATTACTCGTTTCTTACCAGGAAGATTACTCGTTTCTAAGTGTTATCTGTAGAGAAATTAATTTGAACAGTAGGCACTGTGTTGTTTAGGGTTCTGATGTTGTTTGCAAGGAGGCATAGTGGGAGTTCTAACTCCTGTTTAAACAATTTTTAACAGAGGTGATAAATATTTTTATTAATTTAAAATAAATATAGTCATTGTGGTATTTGAATAGATAATCTCGTTTATATATTAAATTAAATTTAAAAGAATTCTTTCTCATACACACATTTATTCAAAATATTCCATTTAATTCTCAGCTTTCTTTTTTATTTTCTGCTTGTCATATTTACTGAGGTTTTAACATTCTCAAATTAAAGCATTAACATTAGAATGTCTTTCTTAAATCAATTCTCAGTTATTAGCATGAACATTTATAAATGTCAGAGTGTAAGATAAAGAATTATGGAATTTCTTCAATTTTGTTTTTCTGATATTTTGTCATAGACAAAGTTCAACACTAATATGGTAATTACAGTAGAAAACTGTACCAGCTAGTACAGAACTGATGCTGCAGTCAGACCTCTAGGCTTAATGTTTTAAGAATCATGTAATTATAAACATATCCTCCAAAATACAATAAAAACTTAAAAGAAATTAAGATTAGTTTATTACATAGTCTGTCAGTAATTTAGTTATTTGTTTCATGGAATTTCTAAATTCTTTTAGGCTTTTAATGAGCTATGTTTGCTACTGTTTTTGCAAGATAATAGTTTTCTTCTTTATGTCCAAATCAATCTCAAGGAATACTAGAGAAAAATTCTTATAAATTCATCCTCTGAATTTTAGCATTGTATTTTAGAAATAATTCTCCAAACATATTTTTAATGAGGATCCTGCAGATCTTTATTTGCTCACTTGCTTTTTCTTTCTTTTCACATTGTGCAACAACCTCAAGGCAGGGACTAAAGGCCAGTCCTCTGAGCAAGCTGCCAGAGCCTGGGAAGAGCTCATGGATAGCTAGTTACTCAGCTGTTATATAGGTTGTGTAGGACTTGCATAGCACCTTGCATTTCTTTGTCAAATGCCTCATATGTGAAAATGTTGTGCTTCCAATTTGTTTGGTTGCTTATATTAATTTATCAAAATTTTTTTTTGTCAGTAAAGTGCATTATTTTGTCATTGCTTTCAGTGTGTGCATCATGTAACATGCATATATTTTTTTCTGTCAAAATTTTGAGTATTTGTGCCACTTTTCAGCTCACTAAAGACCTCAAAGTAGCAAAATAATAAGATTCACAAATGATAAATAGATCTACTACTGTGTAGGTACCTTCCACAGTCACCTCTCAGGAATCACACTGCGGGGCAGAGGACAGTTGCTTTATGGTGACTGGGCAGCTGGAATGTCCAATATTTGATTGCTAATCAGATCACTAAAGAAATTTTAATATGCTTTGTTGTATACTGGTTATATACTAAGCTTTAGTTTTACTACCTCATTATGCATTTGTGTATAGTTTTCCTTTATTTTTTCTAGGAGGACAAAGGGATACCAGAATTGAATAAGGGGTAGGAGGAGAGAGACATTTGCTACAGCAGCACCTTAAACAGCAGACTACAGAAAGAAGCATACAAACATAGAGTTATAAAATTGGGCACCATCACAAATCAAGATAGTCACTTGTGATTAGAAATGAGTAAAAAGAGGATAATCTCTGTAAATTGAAATTATGTGTTTATTTAAACTCAGAACTTGGTTAAATGGCTAAAAATAATCCATCTACAAACATGATTTTGAGCAAATGGGTAGTACTGTTGATTTATATCAGAGGAAGGCTCATCAGTGTCTTATAAATTATGGAGCAGTACAGCATGGACTTAGGCACTGGACTTGATTCATACCAATGATTTTTTAAAATAATTTCTTGCATTTTTTGCTCTACAGTGATTAAAATCTGCAGAAAAAAATCCTGTACACAATCAAGCTAAAGTCAGCTCAGCTCTGTTGTCAGTGCATGGCTTGGTTGTGCTGCCCTGTTGAAAGCAGCAGAGCATCTAACAGGGGGGTTGTGGCCAAGCCCTGCCCAATGGCCTCAGGGATAGAAAACAGGCCCTGACAATTTTATTTATAAATTTAGATGTTACCAGAGAGTCTCACTGACTTAATCTGACCTATATTTTTTTTTTTTTTGCCTGTAATCATAAAGCACAGAATTATAATATTGAGGCTGTGCTGATCCAAAGCTCAAGTTGTAGAAATCTGACTGAATTCTTCTAAGCTTAGGATCTTAGAATCTTAGAAAAAGTATTTCAAAGTGATTCCCACCCTTGAGCCAGTAGGCCTGAAGCTTAAATAATAATTTTCTGGGGTAGGAGGGCTAAGCTCTGACACACTTTACAACCATAAATCTAAAATCCTGTCTTATATCTGAACTACATTAATTCATAACTTCAGACAAGGCATGACTTTTCCACAAAACCTTTAATGTGTAGTCTGATCTTTGTAGTGATATAAGCAGTATTTAAAAATGCCTGAATTTCTTTTTAAGTACAGCTCCATAAATGCTTCTACCAAAATACTGTCAGTGTTTTATAACACTTCCCCCCCACCTGAGTGTCTCTATCACAGTGTTCAAAGTGAACTGTGTATAATGGCAATGCAATTTTTCTGCTTTTTGTTTACTGCTGTGATTGATTTTTCATTTAATATAGTTTTCCTGTGTTCTCCAGTAAGTTTTTGAGGGCAGAGAGGGTAAATGTTAGGAATTAAGTACTTTCCCCCATACTCTTGTGAGTGGCAAAGTGGTGATGTCTGTCCTTCTTTCCAGTGCATGGGAAATGGGACAAAGCAGTACAAAAATAGAAGCAGGGGAGGGATGGACAGATGGACAGACTTTGCAATCTTAAAAACCTTCTTTACTTAGGTATGCAAGCTAAAAGTACATATCGCTCTTGCAAATCCATCTTTCAGTGTAGTTCTCTTACTTTGAATTGCTATTCATTGAGTTATAGATGAAAAGACTGTAAAGAAAAAATGAAAAATATATCACGTATTTTGTTGCTTAACCTATGCTTCAAAAATGTTTGGGTACTTTTGTATTGAAACATGTAGAGAAGTAACTATCTTATGTGAACTAAAAGACCTTGTAGTAAATTTGTTAAGAAGTACAAAAGGGATTTGTGTGGCATGCAAGATGAAATTGAAGATGTATTTTAATCTAGTTCAACCAGAAAAATTGTCAAGTAATAGATTTTCATAGTTATCTAATTTCATGGACATGAGCCAAAATCCACTGCTGTTTTAAGTCCCAATGACTTTTACAGGACTTAACCTGAAAAAATATGTACAATTTTAAATAATACACAGAGGAATAAAAATACTTTTCTTTTCTAATAGTCCCTCAGTGCACAGCTGCCTACATTGTCAGTTAAAGGTTCATTCCTACTGAAAAAACTGCTGACTTTTCAGTAAGGAATCAAACTCAGAACTATTTGGGCTGAAGGCTGTAATCTTTTATTTGGAGTGGCTGCCATTATACCCTGTACAAGTTGCAGTTATGCAGGTATTCCGACCTTTAGTTTAAATCACAGACTCTTTTTTTCAGTGCAAAAAGATGATTTATTGTGCAAGTCTACACATCAGAGCTGTGAGTGGCAGAAGCATCTCAGCTGCATAGATCTCTACGACTGTGAGTCAACCAAGCAGAGAAAGGAAGTTAAATGTAAGAAAAACTTTATTTTTCTTTCCTAATTACAAATTATTCTTGGAACATTATTTCTCTTCTATTTCTAGGCTAAGTAGCTGTAAAGTTTTTAAATGTTTCTAAATTCTCAGCTATGATGGAAATCTCATAATCAATGCTTATTAATGAGTTAAGGTAGAAATGAGTTGTCTGGCCTGTGTTAATCATCTAGTCTCAGCTCCGTATTGGTGAAAAGAGATCAGCAGTTTCAGGGAGTGCTTTATTCCTACAATAGATGCCTAAAACCAGTGGATTGAATCACATTCTGAGAAGGCATCTTTCTCCATTGACAAGCCTAAATTTTTCTATACTACCGCATAGTTTTTTTTGACAATTCAATTTTCTATAGATAGCATTAATGTCAGATTTATACACCAATACAATAAAAAGTAGCAATCACGACCAGTGTTGCAGGATTATGAGAATAAAATAAAACAATCCTGAAGTGAATGGAGTTTAAATCAGAAGTTTTTCATCTCCTTTAACAGGCAGAGGGGAGGAAATAAAAAGCCTTAGCCTGTTTTTCCCAGCTAGCAGTTACTACCTAGTGCTTAGTAGAAAATATTTATCAAATGAGGCAGTAGAAATTGTACTAATTCATGGATGAGTTCTGTGTCCCAGGGGATACACTGACTCTTGGAACATTGAGCTACTCATAAAAAAAAATATTAGAGACATTCTACTCTGTCTTTAAGCACTTCGTTCAATCAACATTCAGAACTGGGCTAAATTACTGCCCTACAACATCCATAAATAGAGTACATAATTAGCTACTGTTTTCTTTTTCCGCAGAAGACAGAAAAGTATTCCCTGGGTGCGTGAATATGAATAATTAATTGGTTTTAGAGATAAAACTTTCCCTGTGCTTTAAAGTAGAAATCCCTTACAGAACCAGTGTGTTTAGTCAGATTGTTTTATTGTTGGATAAAGCTGGAAAAAAACCTCCGTTTTTTAAATGTTTCACACTAAGACTTGGAGAAGTGGTATGATTTGCATTTGTACTCTAACTATATGTAATACTATGAAGAATTTTTGGAGTAAAGGTAGCAGTTTTGCCTGCCACTCAGAGCACAGTGGCTTCCACAAAAGCTCCAGCACTTACTAGCACATATTGCATCATATTGGTACTTTCACAGAACTCAAATGGGGAAACATATGCAATCAAAGAGAAGTAGGGAACAGTAACCATCCAAACAACTGCAGGGTTGAATGTCAAATACATTTCTGGGCTTCAGTTCTTTGTGCCAGTCAATTATGTTTTTATCAGCATTTTTAGTATTGTTAGAGATTTATTTCTCCCCATCACCAGGATATTCATAGCAGGATGAAAGGAAAAGTAATTAGAATCATAACCAAACTTATATTTATTTTGCCCTTTGCCTTCTTTTGGATCAAGGCACTGAGGAGTTTCAGTTAACTCGCTCCATACAGTAGGTGAGAATGCTGTTGTGACATCACCAGATTCTGAGTT